GAGAGGAACTATGTTATAAAATGTGGCTTCATTAGAAAACATTGCAACCAAGGTGAAACTACCTGCACTCAAATAATTAATGTGATCAGTGAGAGAACTGCCATTACCTAACCCAGTGTGTAGCAGCACACACAAAAAGGCTGAGGTGGTCTATCAGTGGAAAATCTACAGCAAAGATGACTTTTTGCATCTTAAAATGTTCCAGTTCTCTGGAAAAGGGGATCTCTGCTTCTCTGGTTATTCTTTTTGAATCAGAAAAGTGGATGACAAGCTCAAAAAGTAAATTAGAAGATGAGTTATAATGCTATATTAGGAAGCAATATTTTGTATTACTTTTGTGATGGTTCCAGTAGCTTTTTAGAAGGAGGTCACATCATTAAACATGCAATGAACCTGCCCAGTTGGAACTGCCCTGTTCTAACTAACAGAGGAAGACACTGACCATATTCATCCATAACAACTAGGCTGGGTTGTAGGTCATGGATGGTCCTATTATCTTGTTGATAATATATTGCTTATGTTTTATAAAATGAATGCTTTTATTCCAGCTGCAGTCATTATCATTAATGGAAATGAACAATTTAATATGCAGAGTTCTTTTTCACAGATTTGTTGAGTTTTTTCTATTAGATGAACTGACCTCTGGTTGCCAGCACTACTATATAATTTGCCTCACCAAACCCACTATTGAAAGATAAGTACATGCACTGAAAATGCAATAATCTCCAGAAAAATGTACATTGGCCTATCTGCCCTAGTCCAAATGGAGATAGCTTCTGTAAAAAATTGGTCAAGAGACGGGGGGGTGTATGTGGGTGAGTGTGTGATGCTAAGCAATTTATTGCTAGGTGGCTTTTCTTTTTGGTGATAACAAGAGAAGATGAATAATTTACTTTGTAACTAACCCTCAGCAAGAACAGGAGACATAGGTACAAGTTTATCCTGACACATTTTGCATTGCTCATTCCTGCGTCATTGCCATGACTTGCAAAATATGCTTTACAACATTCAGAGATAATTAATCAATAAAATGAACTGGAGAAATGAAACAGAAAACAAAACACCCAAATCAAAATATAAAGGGAATTCAGTTATTAATCATTAGCTATTCCTAATGCTAATAATTAGCTGTTCCATTTTATGCTGCTCATTGAAGACAAATGAAGTGTACAGATCTATACATATATATATGTTCAACACACAAATATTTGAATTTAATAGTGACTGTGGCTCAGTGCTTCTGTGTACCATCTCTATACAAATTTTATTTCAGCTCTTTTGTCTCTTGCTTGAATTTGGAGAAAGTGAAGATGGAAGAGACACAAAGATATCTATAGCAACCCAAAATTGTTCCTAGCAGTAAAATATATTCTTAACTGCATTGTCTGCCATAGAGTTAAATTATTTGTATGATGACAATTCCATAAACTCCTGGACACATAAGACAGACATATCAATATTTTTCAACTAATATTAAACACAACTATAAAATATCTTTCCATAAATATCTCATTAGCAAAATATAATTTAAGTTTTGTTTTCAATTAACCAATTTAAAAACTTAATGCAGATTAAAATTATTACATAAAAGACTTGCAAATGAGCAAAAATACTTCAAATTTTCTTCTATTTACAAAGGTTTAGTATTGTAAGGAACACGCTAATGGTTTAACTAGCTGAAACAATACAGTAAGAACATTAACTGTTCCAATGATACAATCAACACGCTTCAGTTACTTTCTTAATATGGCTAAAAGTAATCACTGAAGTAACTTTTTTCTAGCTCTTTCTTAGCCACTCCATTGTCTGTCTTTTTAAATAAAGGGTGAATATTTGTTTACTTTAGATAGTATGATTAAAAATGTAAAACTTTTCAGAAATTTATTATAGGAACTTCAGAGAAACAGAAATTTAAAGTGCATTTGTACATCTTCACTATTGTAAGTAATGCTACCCCGCCCACCTCTCTGAAGATCTGCAATGTGGAGAAAGTATAGCCAAACCAAAAGAATCCTTCGTTCTAGGATGCATGCCAGCTAGAGAGACTAAGGTTCAGAACCAGGATAATATAAGAACAAACACTAGATGACCCTGAGAAGCGGAATAATGGAAAATGTGGAAACTCAAAGAACAGAGTTGTGAGTTCAAGACTTAGGACATTAAAACCAAAATAATCTATTATAAATTCTGAGGTAAGAGCTAGGAAGTATCTTAAGGAAAGAATAAGAATGGAAGGTCCAGGTATGCTAAAAGTGACCAGTGTTAAAGCACAAGAACAATCTAGAAGTTTATAGAGGTTTATACACAGGAAGAGAGAAGTACTTAAGCTGCTAGGCAATAAGGCAATATATCTTAAAAATGCTAAAGAAACAGTATTTACATTGCCTGAAACATTTCTTTTTAGGAATAAGAAACTGATGATTTCTTATAAGATTCTCAAGAACTTGTACCAGCTGTAAACAGTCTTGAGGAAGCTTTTCTGTAGTTTAGTGAGTTCATCTCCACATCAAAACCACTGGGTCCACTGACATCTTCCATATTCCAGAAAATAAATGTGCTTGAAGACCAACAAATTGGTCAGCTATAGGTGATTTCAAAGATTTTTTTTCAAATGCCTCTCAAGTGCACAAGGCTAAGAGTTAGTATAAAAAATGTTCAGAATATCATTGCTGATTACCTAAAACAAATATGGAGAGAAACTTAAACTTCCCAGGGAAGTCTATAGCAGCTGAATGCTTTTGCCATTGCTAAATTTTGTCCACTGTGAAGTCCAAAACCCCAGACTGCCATAGTAGGTTTCATTTATTTAACTAAACTGCTTTGTTTTTCCCAACTTTCAGTTAAGTGTAACTACCACTACTACATCTGACTCAAGATGTCACAGTATTCAAAAACTACTTACTAAAGCTAAACTTCAAGCTTTGTATTTGACACCTTCCACAATGACATACAACTTGTGATTCACAATAGTTTAGATACTTTTCACTGAAAGAGGAGTGCAAGGTGTTTTTTTCTCTACTCCTTTCCTTAATCCTTTAAAAGGTTAGTCTTTCAATACCCCAAACCCTGCTCTTCTCTTCAGCTCATGTTGCAAACTTTAGGACTTCAGGCTACGAGCCACAGATACTCTGACCTTTCCTCCACACCTGCTGGGTCTGGGGTACTATCCCTAGGTGTTCCTCACTAGCTTTTCTTGAGAGGATTTTTTTAGGTCTGCCCCGATAATTTAAAAGTCGCTCATGCCTTTTATCTCCTTTCCAAACAGTTCTAAGTGAATAGTTGTAACTAGGGAGCTTGTTAGTCTGGTTTTCACAGGCTAACTTCTTCTGCTAATGTAAAAAGGGTCAGCAAGATTAATTAACATGTAAGACAACTTGCTAAAACCATTTTATAGCCTTGCTTCTAGTTTTTTTTTTCTTTTATTCTTGTATAGCCATTGATCAAGAACTAAATTCTGTTAGAGAATCAATAGCTGGAACAGTTTCTACATTTTCAAATGCAAAGGTGCAATTAATAACTTAATAATTAGACACGTAGGATATGCATGATTGCACATGATTGCTGAAAGGCTTAAAGAAAAGAAGAGCATGAATACTGAATCGAGTAAGAACAAGCTTTGACATCAGCTTCAGGAATAACAAGGTATTCACAAAGCAAAGAAAAGAAACCATGTAATTTCTTTTGCTAATCCATAACTCCCTTTTGTCATGAACCAACCACTCCTCCATCAGAGGCTCTGGCACAAGCAATTAAACACACATTCAGTTTTGTACAATGGACTGACCCAGCTTTTGCATCACAGATACAAACGCATCTCATTCCTGTTGTAGTTTAACAACTTCATGACCTCTAAAGGCAAAAAAAAAAATCCATTTCTTTCCTTCCAAGCATGTTGTTCTGTTTCTATTTAGGAGTCTTTGTATGCTTCCCCCAGCCAATCTCTCACCCATGTTTACTGCTTTCTCTCAGCCCTCCCTTTGCACGTTTCCCCACCCTCCTCGCAGGATGTATTTCTAGAAGCTGGGTTCTCTCCTACACAGGTCATCTCTCCTCATGCTGTGAAACAGCAAGCCAACCATACAGACACAGATGAGGGCACATTGAAAGAAAAAAATAGCCATTTGCTATTAAAAACCCCCAAAACGCCTCCACCACAAGCAAACTGATTCTGATGCCATTAATGACCTATGCTTTCACAGATGCACATAAACCAACACAAAAAGAGAGAAAAGAGAAAAGAAGTCTTCCTAATTTAAAGTATGTTGATGCATATTTGCAAGATTTTAATCTGATTAAAAACTTTTCACCATAATAGTGCTCACACAATGATTTTTAAATATTTGAGAATAAGACATTACTCCAGAACATTGTAGACAAAAACATATGTCATCTTAAAAATATTCTCCTCATTAAACACAAGATTTTCAGTCTGACCCTTTTCAAAAAGCTTGACTATTTTTTGTCTATAAAGGAAAAATACATGTTGTATAGTACTTCTTTAGACAATAGCTAAGTATTTGTGGACAATATAGATAGCAGAATTTAAAGGGTTTCCATCTGCTCCTCTCCTTGTTAAAGATAAAGAAAAGGGTATCAAAGTGTACCAAAGGTACAAACAATTTGAATTCTTGTACTCCTTTTTTCACTGGAGAGATAAGTCAGGAAATGCTTTCCTAATGCCAATCATTTCATAAATGGAAAGTTTAAGCTATTTCCTTCTAATTCAGCATCTCCTTTGGAAAGGCACATTCACCTCTATCTCTGCACACAGGTCACTCAAACTTTGGGAACACAGACCTCCCGCCACGTAACCTTGCTGTGCATCTGCTGCACATACATTCACCCAGATTAATTTCCTTCTCTCTTCACTGTCTTTTGACAACTTTACAAATCTGACCACTTTTTAAACTACCATTTTCCCACTGCATATGAACTACAAGGGACAAATCTTTCTTTCTTGACAGGAATTTTCATTTTAACATCAGATTTTGAATTCTTACCATGGTCTCTGACTTCAGACATGACGAGTTCACTGGTCCCATTCTCTCTTGGGTCATCCTGTCCTGCGGACACGTAGTTGTCCATTGTGGCAGGCTGAGAATGAATGAGGTGTTTTGAAGTCTGCTCATCAGATTCCTTAGTCAAATGATAAAACAGCATAGAGAAACAGGAACAAAGCTTTCAGCAGGATCACAACACAATGGTTACCCTGATCTATAACAATGCCTGGGAGTTGTATTAGGCAAATACTAAAATAAAATCCTAACATTTTGGTAAATGATCAGTGGTGACTCAGCCATAAGAAGAAGCAGGTTTAATATATATTTTTTTTCTCTAGACACAATGTAAAATGGAAACCAGAGGACATGGAAAAGAAAAGATAGAATACAAAGCACACAAAAAAATTTCCTGTGATGAATTCACCAACTATTTCCAAACTGACCCTTTTCTTTCTACAACAGGATGTGGTGCTAGAATTGAACTGGCTCATTTCTGCTGCAGATAGCTTAAAAGCAAAGGACAACTTATTCTGGGATTTATTCCAAGGCTTCATTCTTACTAGAAAGCCAGTTGAAGAGTTAATATGCTTAACCAAATGAAAGGAACCCTCAGCCACACCAAATTAAAATGTTTAAAGGATTACCATTCTAAACATCTTGAAAATAAATGTATTTTGAACTCTGGTGTCATATAGTCAGTAAAATCATTTCAGAGAGCAGATTTAGATTTAAGTCAAATTAAGAAAAGGTAACTTAAAAAACAAAACTGTGCAAAGAATAAAGAGCTTGTTGAATCATATGTGAATAACTGAATGTACTTTGCCTCATCCTAGATCAACAGGTTTAGCTAAGCAGTTCAGATTTTGATGCACTTCCCAGTTATTAGTCTCAGAACAGGCCTGTGCCTCTAGTGCTGAAGAAACTATGTGGGAAACAGAAAAGTGCTATACACTGGGTGCACATATAAATGAGATGTCCAAAACAATAGCCCAGACTTACATGTAGGACATTGACATTCAGCTGCTGAAAATTATGGGACCTGAATTCTTGCATTCTTTTGATATTTTCTTGATATTTTTCTTCTGCCAGCTGCCTGTAAATACAGAATGCTTGTATTTAGAACGTAATATCAGGGCATGCATAAAGGGATCTTCTAAAAGCAGACATGGAAAAACAAATTCCATACTGAGATTTTCATGTTGCCAAATATTCATGGCATCTATTCAGGTTTTAATGAATGCAAAAAGAGATTTCAGACCTTATTTCTAAACCCTATTATATTTTACTTTCACAGCTTGCATAACATAATTAAGAAATAGTAAATTATTAGTACCAGTCTTTTCTAGTTCTTCCAAGGTCTTAAATACTTTGGGCTTTATTCCACCACGTAGTGCAGGGACCTTTCAGCTGTAGACAGGCATGCAACATTTGTGTGCTATGAACTCTTCCTCTGGGGGACAGTTGGTAACTGGGTTTCTGTGTGGAACCACTTAAGACAGATGCTACATTAAGCAGTCTTCCCAGCTTCCATTAATATATTCCCTTCCCACCCATCTCTAGATTTGCACTGCTGGAAGCAGATCTCCAGTTGGAGAAGGTACAGTTTTTGCATTGTTTCCAACATTTTCAGACAGAGTCAGCTGACAATGATCTAGAGCTCAATGTTGATCCATTTTAAAGATTCATGACTGAGAACAAGGTCTGAATATTAATGTTGCCTTCATATTACAAAACAAATATATTCCACTTTAGTTTTGAGAGGAAGAAAAAATGTGAAAATCTCATCAGAAAACATCAAAATGTGAGAAAGCAATGAAAATGAAAAAAAATCAAAGCGATCTTGCAATTAATATTATTTCCTGATCTCCATTCATTTTTAAAAAGTGAAAGAGACAGACTTTATATTTACAAATTTCATATTAGTACACAAATTGGCTTACCATATTACCAAAAGTACCATGCAGAAAAGGTGTTAAATTTAATACTTTTATACAGTGGTTTCAGTTCAAGTAAAGGTTTTTTTTTAAATGAGAATCAATTTATGTATGCCAGTCAGACACAGGTGCTCTTCAGACATGTTTTCCAAAAGGCCATGAAGGTCTTAGTTCTTTGCTCCAAATGTGTCATTAAAACAGTATATTCTGGTTTTTATTAAAAAACCCCAAACAAAGCCTTTCGGTTGTTTCTCATATTATATCAGAATCTGTACCTAGTCTCTTCCAAAACATTTTATTATGCCTCACTTAATGAAAAAACCCATCAATCAAAGACGTTACAACACCATCCATTATACCCATTTGATCCTTTGACAAGACTATCTATCCTCTGAGTATTAACAGCTGTTGGAAAACCTCTGAGGCCAAAACAATTGACAAAAACTGGATTGTAACTAAATGTCTGACTCCTTAGACCATGCAATTCTTAACATCAACAGTCATTAAAAAATAGTCTCTTATTGTAACACATTTGAAAATCTCTCACACTTATTTAACCAGAACCATGGTACTCAAAGCACCAGTTTTGGGCTAATGTTCTAATTTTTTTCTTCCCTACACAAAAAATCAGTGTGATTTATTGTCACCCAAAATCCTCATTGACTTTGAGTAGCTAAAGACCCATACTATTTTTATTTCTACCTTGACAATTCTAACTTTCCCATCAGACTGTTGAGTGGGGAAAATTGCATGGTTTGGGCACAACTTACTTCAACTTCTTTGCTTTCTCATCTGCAGCGTTTAACTTCCTCAGCCGCATTCGTTCCCGTGGTGTCATTTTCTGAACTTCAGAAAGTTCCTGCAGAGTTTGCAAATGAACTTTCTTCTGCCTGAAATTGAATGCAAGCAAACCCATCTTCACATAAAAATGTAAATATTCCGTATTTTGACTGGATATTGAAACACAGTGACATTTCAAATGGAATAATTACAAAGTCTCTGGAACTATATCAGACTAAATAGACTTTAGTTTGGAAAGTAAATGCCTCTTTAAATTGAAATATTTAAACTTGCATTTGTGAAGAAGGTGATTCATTTCAGGTGAAGATGGAAAAAGGCAGATTCATCTCCTTAAAAGAATAAATATTGAAGCACAGTGAAATATTTACCCTGCTGGACTTCATTATTGGGCATATTCCAAGTACAAAGGTAGTCATAAAATGAGAGCTTGTATATTTTACATCGATTGCTACAAGCTGTCTGGAATAAATGAGAATATTTATGTGTCTTTAATGACAGATACAATTATAATGTTATCCTCTTGAATTTCTGGTCCTAATCAATAATAAGAGTTCACAGGTAAAATGGTCTCCATAGACCATATCTGAAAGCTGACCATGAATTACTGACTTATGTATTTCAGCTGTATTTATCAACCTAGGAGAATAAAATAAATCCTTCATCAGAAAAAGGATAGTAATCTCAGATTTTTATCTCATATCCTACAGTAATTAAAACAAAAATTAAACCCTAATTTGAAATGTCTTGGCAGTCTCCTTTCCCTTACACAATATTTATCTATTACACCATGTATGTAAAATACCAAGTGTCCATTTCAAATTACTGTTTATGCTCTTAGGAGATAAATTCACTTCTGATAATCTAAGAGGCCAGGTTTGTAACCATACAAATTGTAACACTCCTTCTGGACTATCAATTGGAAATCAGGATTTTAATAAATGAGCAGAAAAGACTCATTATGTTTTTCAAATAGTGCAAAGATATGAATATTACTGTGAAATATGAAAGATTAAGGACAAAGACAAGGAGAGTTCAATTATTCATAAGAATGGAACTAACTCTTCAAGTATGAATAATGTAGACATATTTCTTGTCTCCTGTAAAAAACTCTAATTTAAATTAAAATAATCTCGTGGGGAAAAAAGCAATTTTTCATTCAAGTTGAGACTGAACTTGTACAGCCTTATACTTACTTGAATATTTAAAATTTATAACTTGAATGGGAATAGATTAAAATAAACCATCAGAGGCCTTCACTTGAAGAAACTAGACTCAACCTTTTGCTTTGCATGGCAAAAAGAATTCCTGGTGAGAAAAGAGTAAACATGACTATAAAGTACTAATGGTTGAGGAGAACACTATAGGAAGCAATTGTTTGTACTCTCACTGGGACGAGAGTATTGCTGCAGAACAGCAGATGTGGGGAATTCACCATGTTTAATTTTTTTCTCCTTCCTTTTTCTGTTCTCTGTCATTTTTCAGGTATTTGTAGTTGATTTTGCTTACCTCTTTAGATCTGGGAATGCAGGAATTATTTGGCATTTTGCTTACCAGTGACAATACAGGCAGCCAATGTTCTCATAAGTACAATTAGAGTCATTATAAAATTATGACTTCTTGCATATTCCAAACACTTGGACAAAAATAATCACACTGTAGCACAAGTGAGGATAAGCTGCAGTAAAGCTACTCCTAGGATTTTTTTCTCTAACTGATGCCCTGAATTTTGAAACCTCAAGATAAATTGACATTCATTGATTCACAATTTATAGGAACTCTGGACCCCTACAAAGAAGTAGATTTTTCTGTCAGAGTCCAGGACATCCCTCTGGCTGCCTCGGCTGTCTCGAGACCCCGGCATGAAGTCAGAAAGACCTGTGGCTTTGATTTTAGCCCATGGAAAAAACTGCCAGCTTTGTATGAGGAATTACAAGACACAAGGGTTTGAGTAGTGTGATAGTTGAATTAACACAGGGTGAAAAAGTAGAATTTTGGGGTTTTGAGAATGGGGCTCAGGGAGAAAAGATGGAGGGATTTGGGCATGTCCTGACCTTCTCCTTCTTGCCCTCCATGTCTTGGTGTGATGGTGACACTTTCCTATTGGTTTAAGGTAGAGACTCACTGTCTAACATAAATGATAGATATTGGCACATTATTGTAAACATAGTACACATAATGTTTGGTAGAAAATGTAAACACTGCCTGAGAGGGCAGACAGAATGCCATGGCCAACCTGCTAGACAGAGCTCAGCAGGTCAGAGAAAGAATGTTATAGATAAGGAAAAATAAACAACCTTGAGAAGCTGACCCTACGCATTCAGACCTTTTCTTTGGCTGCGCAGGCTGGGAAAAAAGGACTTTTACAGTCTTGGGGTCACCTCGACATCACGGACCCTGAGAATTTTCTATTTCTTTCTAACAACAGTATAAGAGCATGGTGTTTGCAGTTAGAACTACTTGCTCTTCCTCTTAAAGACTACAAACTTGATTTTGAAAAAGAATACTTACAGATTCTAGGATATACATAAATGTCCTTCCCACATGCTATCTCTGTCAAAAATTATGTACATTTGGAAGGTGATGAGACTCAATACATTCATGCTAATGACAATGGATCAGGTATAGAATAAAGTATATATTTTGCAAAAAATACACAGTGGTTTTATCAGTCTCCTCTAGAAGCCTGAGCATATTTGAAGTCTGGATATATTTCTGCAAGTAACAGTACTGCTTTCCAAAACAGATACAATGGTTTTGGTGTATACAGATAATCTGAAATCTTGTGCCTGCAAGGTAAAAGCAAGAATTAAAAGCTTCTTTAAAATTTTCATAATCTGTGTGTCAAAAGCATTAAATACTGAATATAATTCAGATAGAGTTGGCATAATATCTGGGAAACATTTCAGTGCCCCAAAACTATTTATAGGATATCTCTAAGGAGCATCTCTGTAGTTAACTATATTTAATTTGAAAAGGAAGGAATCCTCTCACAATTAATCGAGTTAACTTGAATATATATATTTATTGCTTCATTTTGCATCAAGGCTTGCAAAGTTTCAATAAACTATTTGTACCAAAGGTACCTATTCATACCAAAATGAAAAACTTTGGCCTCACAAAGACAGAGACTCATCTGTCAACAAGAGACATTAAGAAAAGAAGTGACAAGTTGAAACTCAAAACACAATTTGTAGAGATGAGAGCTATAGATACACTGACAGCAGTTAAACTGTGTGAAATGATGTACAAAAGGTTTTGCTATGCTGAATTCAACTGTCTGTACTCTGCTTTCTTCCTACCACTGACAGTAAACTACACTTTGTTTCCTCCTGAAGGGAGGCTTTCAAGCTGCAGAATTGGCAGCATCTGCAAAGTGATCACAGCTGCAAAACTGTGGGTCCTGCACAAGAGCAGAGGTCCCAAAAAAAAAGGTGAAAGTCCCATTGCCTCAAAAATGCTGCCAGTTCTGCATTGTTTTAATCTTTATTGCTGTTACCTAATAATTCAATACAAATATCGGAGAGCTGTTAAAATCTTGACAATTATTTAAAGGAAACAAGAAACAGGGATGTTCATTGCTTCCTCACAAGATCACAAACTTCTGATTTTGCTCTTGCTAGCTCCCAAGAGAACAAAACCTGTATATAAAACTCAGGGGTGGGAGCAAAGGGGAGGGTGAGTTGCCCTTGAAAATGCAGAGCTAATTTACACAGGCAAAATGAAAATGTCCATGCTGGAATTTGCTTTAAACATTGCACCGTTGTAATTTAATGTAATTAATTAATGCAATATATATTCAATGCTTAAGAGAAAGATCATGTGGTATGACACTGCTGATGTAAGATCCAAGAAACATCACTACTCTTGATTTCTCATTGAAGTTACAAGATAAAGATAACAGTATCCTACAGAGGCATTAACTTAATATCAGTTTAAGTATGTACACTTTTAGTTTGGTGTCATTTAGGAAACACAGCTTTTACATTCAATATTTAGTAGGTACAGAAACAGTAGCACTATAAATGATAATGACCTAACTAAAATGACAGCTTAAACCTCCAAAATTTCAGAACAAATGTCATTATTTACATACCAATTGGTACCAAATTAACATCAACATATACAGCAAAAGCATGTGTAATTTATACAGTCATATAATAAAAAATATTTCATCTGCAAATATTTTTTACTCCCTAAATCTTAATTATGTATCTCCCTCATGGGAGAGGTTGTTTTTTTTTTTATTTCTGGGGAATAGGTTTGTCTAAACATAAAGCACTACGACATTGACACAAGTGTTAATGACATTTTTTGGCAACACTGTAATTTCATATATTACTGCCCATAAAACTGTTAAAAATACTTACACGGCTCCAAAAATGGGAGCAGTTTCTTTCTGACAGTTAAGTGCCTTGTCTTTCACAGTCATGTTTGTGAACTTGTACTGTATTTTCTGCAGGGAAATAAAACAGAAGGGGTATCAAGACTTCATGTAAAGTTATCCAGAATCTTCAGCTACTACCCAATACAATCCTAATATAAAAACTGACCAAGCAGTTTCCTTCCCCACCTTCTCAGAAAGCCAAAAAATACAGGCACTGAGACCTGGGCAAAAAAAGAGCAAAAGGCATTGGTTTTCATTAAAACTATGACGAACCAGAACAGATCAGAAATATACGTACACAGGCCCAAGTGACCTACTTCTTTTATGCATAAATGTCTAGGTTTTTTATTGCTCATAACATTTAAGAGGGGATGCATTCAGCATATCAAGTGACGAGGGCTTCATTCCCCAGTTATATTTGTACTAAAGCTATGAAAGTCCCCCAGATTAATGCTCCTATAAACAGCTATAAAATTATTTTTTCTCACCGTGTTTTCCCTACCCCCATTTTGCTTTTGCAAAATACATACTCAAATGGCAAGTGTACAACTACTGCTTTTTCTTACATACCTTTAGCTGTTCATCAATATAAGGGGATTTTAGTATCTCTGCTGCTGCTGGTCTCAATGAAGGATTCTTACTTAACATCCTGAAACATTAAAAAACAAAAGTAGTAATTAAGCAATTGTCCAAACTTACTGAAAAACCTGCTAAACAAGAAAATAACATACCTGCATAGCACAGCATTCAGTTTGCTTGGATATCTATCAGGAAGAGAAGGTGTTTCACCTTCCACAATTTTTAACACAACAGACAAAAAATTCTGTCCAGTAAATGCATGGTTCATACAGCACATCTCGTACAAAATGCATCCCAGAGACCTTGAAGAATAAGCAAGCAGGAATAGTATGTATTATTCACCAGTCCTAATGGCCATCATAAAAGCTCACCAAGTTGAACATTTTAAAATAAATACTCTCATAATAATTTTATATAATGATTGTTCATAACAGTTTGCACTTCAGCTGAGCTCTGTCTGAAGAATGTTTTTTTAAAAAAATAAGGGATTTGAGTTTTGCAGGCCTTGGAGGATGCTCAGCTCTTTCTCCAGTAAGGGGTGCTGACATGATCAATGATTTACTTGATCAAGGTCATAGAAAATTCTGGTGAGAGCCAGATACAGGCTGATGCTCATTTAAGCAACCAGCTTAAATATTTTTTGTATTTGACTTTTAAAATTTTATAATTTAATCTGTGATTCCAGAAGGAGTATGAAAATAAAGCATAATGTTAAGAAATACGTATGGGTGAATGGCTGTCAGGAAAGCAGGATAAAAATCTTTGGAAGCAAATAATGACCAAAGTTTCATTTATTCATTTTGGTTAAAGAAGAGGAGTTGTTTTGGTCCATCTGGCAATAAAAGAACAAGAGCAAATAATTTTAAAGCTGAAACCCAGGCTCTACATTCAGTGAAAATAGGGAAGAAGAGAGAGAATTAGGGGGGGACTCCACTCACTGCTACTTTTCAAGCAAGTATGTGAAAACCATTAGCAGAGCATTTTTGCTAAGAACCAACTAAAGAACAATTACTGAGGTAAATAAATTGTTGCCTAGGTTTTTTAAAGATTGAACTGTCAAACAGCTTTCAAACTCTCAAAATCAGTAAACAGTAAGACACAGATGATAATCTGTATTTACAATGTATGTTCAGACTTTGAAACAAGATAATTACCACATGAGAAAATACTTAAGCAAAAAGAACAACAAAAAAACCCTATGTACACAGCATCTGAAAGCATCAAATAAAAATGGAAATCAGCCAGAGAGAAGAAAAAAAAGAAGGAAAATCCCAACCTGACAGACAGACTGTACTTATTACTTCTTTTTGCAGAATCAATATGTTTTGGAAGCTGCTTGATTCTGGCAGCTAGAAATTGTTTAATGAGCCATTAGGAACACAGGATTTGACACATCAGGGAAGCTGATTTATTAATCTAGTTTAGTACTCTGACTACACCTGAGGTGGAGAAAGATGAAAAGAATGCTCAAAGCATTCTGCTGCAGACAGAGCTGCTAACAGGCTATCCAGGGAAAATCCCATCTGTCCCATAAAAGAAAAAAACAGGGGAAAAAAGTAAAGAAAAACCAAGGAAAAAGAATAAAGTTTCTTTCTGCAGGATCAAAATCTTTAAAATTAAATAAATACCTCCTAAGCTGAGAAATGCTGCCCTGGGTTCCTGAACAAAGCTATTTCTTCCCAAGAGAGCTGCTGAGCTGCAAACACCCAAAGAAATAACAGGCTAGCTCTTGGCTCAAAACTGCATTTCTCAGTTGTGTTTCTACATTTCTGCTCTAAGTACCTTGTGAGGAGCAGGAGGAAATTGCTTCCCAATTCCCATAAGCAATCCGCACATGATCCAAACATATAATTTAATTACTTTTATAATCTTAGCCTGTATAAGTGCCAATGTTATAAAATTCTAAAATGGTCATTAAACCAGCCAGCCAGCACATTTGCTTTGACAACTCCCTATATTCATGAACGGATTTGACAAAGTTCCCAAAGAGCACATAATTTCAGCAAAATTGTGGCATTTCAAGTTCATGTTGAAGCTACTTATGCTCAATTACATCATAAAATGGAGCACCTGGACAGGCTTCAGTGTGTTCCCAATCTCAACTGACAGATTTCTAACCCCACCCTCTTAGGAGAAACCATCTGAGGTTTTTCTGAGGTTTATGTTGCTTACATAAATATTGTCATTCTTTTAACATCTTCTGATCTTTGGTAAAAAAAAAAAACAACAACAAATTCTTACAATTCTTGAAAGGTTATAAGATACAAGTTAGCTTTAAATTCAACTTCAAAAGTCAGATAATGTAAATGCATATACCTTTAAGGCTTATATCTCTAAGTCTGATCATATCAGAAGGTCTTAAGAATTCATTGGCTTCAGAATCTGTGAGGAATATGTCTCTGAATTTAATTTCCTCAATACTCAGTCATCAGCCCTGAAATGAGAACTCCCTGCTGCTGTCTTCCTCAGGCCCATCCCCTCAGCCTTCACACTGCTTCATTTTTTGACTGTTAATATTAAAGAAAAAGACAAAATGGGGGGGAAAGCACAGACAAACAAGCACAATAAAATGAAAGCCATTTACCCAAACACAACAGACAAATCATCCATCAAAATCTGACAGGACTTGATGGAAGACAGAGCACAATGGATTTACATGTGACCGCAACATCGCTTTGTCTCTGCCATAGCACTGGAGGCACGGCAATGTTGGCCAAGCCCCAACAGCACCAGTGTCACCCAGGGTGTGTGAGGGCAGGAAGGGACACCGGGCCAGGCTCAGCAGCACCTGGGGTCACGCTGGGCTGGGCTGCCAGTGAGCCCCAGTGGCACTCACACATCAGGGACTGAGCCCTGAGCCAGCCTGGCCTCTTGGGCTCTCGGTCTCGCTCAGCTGCCGGCTCTGCTCTGACTCTGCTCCGTCTGCCCCATCCACACTGGGAAGCACCATGGACAGAGGGGGGGGTGAACTCATGGCCTGGCCAGTCCAGGCTCAGGGATACTGAGGAAAACATGTGAGCCAACTTTAATTTGCCTCCTGTGAATTTAGATTTGACATAAAGCCTGGAATAACAAAGAACTCCAGCCCTGACATTTCAACTGAAGAAAACATAAATGCTGCCACTTCTCTGAGACCAACTGCAGAACTTCCATGGTGAAAAAAAAACTGTAAAACATGAAGCTTTTCGCTCATCTATTAACCTTGGGCTATAAAGGACAATACTTCCTGTACCAGCTGCTGCACTGTGAATATTCAAGCCAGTTTTGAAAAACCAGTTCCACAATGTTTCAGTGAACCTGAAAAGCACAGTGTGTCTTTAGAGCACATCAGCAAAAATTAAGGCCTTTCCAATGAACTGAACAGCGAGAGGATCACAATAACAAGGTAAGATAGCACTAATTGTCTTTTCTAGAAGATATTTTACATTATCTTACATTTAACATGGGGACACTTGTAAGTCTGAATTTTTGTGTGCGAATTTTTTGAGTCCTGCTGGAGATCAGAAAGACAAGTCTGAAGAGAGAACGTCACTTCAGCTACAATAAAAGACTTGGACAACTCCTTGAAATTCCTCAAGGTCAACAAACAGTGCTGTTTAACATCTCTGTCAGCAACACGGACAGAGGGCTGAGTGTATCTTCAGCAAGATTGCTGACAAGCTGCGTGGTATGGTCGACATGCTGGAAGGAAGTGCTCTCATCCACAGGGACCTTGGCAGACTGGAGAGGTGGGCTTGTGCCAGCCTTATGGAGTACCAGGCAAATTGCAAGGTCCTGCACTTAGGTCACAAATAGAGACCGGGCAGAGAATGGAAAAACAAGCCTAAGGAGGAGGACATGGGGGATGTTGCTTGATGAAGAGCTCAACATGACTTGGTGATATGTGCTGAGAGCCCAGAAAGCCAAACACATCCTGGGCCACATCAGAAGCAAGGTCACCAGCTGGCTGAGGAAGGAGATTCTTCCCACTATTCTGAGACCTCACATGGAGCACTGCATCCAGCTCTGGGCCCTCAAGATGAGAAGGATGCAGACCTGTTGAGGCAAGTCCAGAGGAGGTACACAAAGATGATCTGAGGGCTGGAACACCCATTCCATGGATTCAGGCTGAGAGAGTCAGGGTTGTTCAGCCCGGAGAAGAGAAGGCTCCAGTGGGACCTTTGAGCACCTTGCAGCACATAAAGTGACAGAGAGACAGAGAGAGACTTTTTACAAAGGTGTGTAATCATAGGACAAGGGGTAACAACTTAAAATTGAGAGAGAGTTCAAGGCCAGGTTGGATGGGGCTTTGAACAACCTCATCTAATGGAAGGTGTCTCTGCCCATAGCAGGGGAGTTGGAACGAGATGATCTTTAAGGACCCTTCCAACCCAAAGCTTTCTGTGAGTCTTCGATCCTTCATCAGCAACTGAACCTCCTGCACAGTGGCCCAAGGACTTCATCTCACCTGGAGCCTCCAGGGTGGGCTCCCCTGTAAGCTCAGTGTCCTCTTGTCTTTTGACCCCTGTTAAATGGGGCAGAGGAAAAAACATTAAATAGAATAATTGTCAAAAGATTAAAAGACAAGAGTATCAATCAAACACGAGTCCTGATCAGAAGAGTTTCCTGGCTTAAAAAAGGAAGGGGTTTGTGGGCTAGGGAAGTACTGAGTCAGGGCACACCTCATCCTTAGTGCCCCTAAAGTGAGGGCCAAGAAGCTCCTGTTGAAGGCAGTTTCATCCTCATGTGAGTGCTCTTGGCAATGCTTTGGAAAGATCACGGAAGGCAGAAAGCACAGAAGAAAGCTGGTAGCTACTGAGTTTGGAATGGGGGGCTTTTTTTTGTATTTTTGTAAATTTTGAAAGTGTGATCAACACAGCATTTGTAAAAGTATTAGACCAAATTCTGATTATGCTTATCCTATACAATTTCAATTATCTATATAGATTGACACTAGTAACCACAAACAGAACTTAAACATGTATTTTACTTTTTCTGTAGCTATTATATCATAAGATTAATTCTATTTGCACTGCAATAAAAGAAATTATTCCTTACAATAGAAGAGCACAAAAGGCGGGCTTCCCCATCTATTAATTTGTTTTGACATCTTTTGAAATCATATCTCAACATATTTTTATTGACTACATGTATTAGCTGATATTTGCCACATGTGAACAAGAGAGAATCTGACATCAAATCCTTAGCAGTCAGCCTCAAAGGCCATGAGATGAGATTCCTGACATATCCATTGACTGGATTGAATATGTCAACTGAAAAATGGTTGCTACCACTTGAAAATATAGATGATTGTTCTCTACTTTTACAATTATATCCTGCAGCCACGAGTATATTTTGAAAGGCAGAACTGAGATTAAGCTAGAGTAAATTATCAAGCAATCAAACTATATTCTAGAGACCAAATGTTTTACAAAGGAACTTTCCTGGTTTGAAATATTTATTTTAAAAATTAATCTTACGATATAATACCTACAGAAAAAAAACAACATAACAAAACACCTCATAAAAGAAACAAAGACCCTTAAATAAAATACTATGACAAAATTTAAAAACTCAACACTTTTAATTATCATCTTAAAACATGAGATGCTTTAGGACACACATATATACAAGCCAAATATTTTCACCATTCCAAAAAAATCATTCTTCATCTTAGAAGAATTTGAAGTGTACCTGCACACCTAGAAATTTCCTAAAGTCTTTCAACAGACCTCAGATCCTAAACTTGATCCTTTAATCATCACCTCAGAAGTCATGATCTCAAGAATTTGTGCCATCTAAAAGCAGAACACTTTTCTTTCTACCTTTGAGCATCCTCTAAAACAGAGTGCCTTTTTGTTTCTGCTCAAACACCACAGTTATTATCTTTTCAGCTCCATTTCCAAATACTTCCTTGCTTTTAACATTTGCTAATGTTTTTAAATTTAGTTCCTAAGAAGGTCCTTCCGCTATCCTCTCAGCCAGCATCACTTTTTGCTCATCCACCTAAAAATTTCACAGAAAGTTGCTTCTTTCATTTCATCTATCTCAATTCAAGAAAAAATGAGATTTCCTCTTCCTAGAAAAACCTGAACTTTGTCTACAATCATCCTGTATCACATCAGAGACTGGACCCGAATCTTATTCTCCTTCAAAGTCTCAGATAACCCAGAATAAAAGCCAACTACACGCTTCTTAACAAAAAGGCAAGGCTTCAGATTGCAACATTTGATCCTAATGTCCTGGAATAGTTTTAGTGGAGATAAATGCCTAATCCAACCAAAATAGCATTATGACTACTCACCAAATGTCAGATTTTGTATTATATCCCTGGTGCTTCAGTACTTCTGGACTCATGTAGTATGATGTCCCAGTAAAAGTAGTTGCAAGATCACATGAACCCATCAAAAGACAAGAAACTCCAAAGTCTCCTAAAAATATCAGTAGAAACAATAATCTATTAATATAAACATATGTATTAATATAATTTTTTTTATTGTCAGACATGATAAAGTGACTGTAGATCCAGAAAATTCCACTAGTATTTAAAAAAAAATGTGAAAAACTATTTTCTGTAATTCTTCAAAACAAAAACACCACAAAAACATAATATCACAAAACAATGTGGGTTTGAAGAGGCTTCACAAGGTCATCAGATTCAAACACCCGGCCTAAAGTTAAATGGGACTGCTCAGGTCCAGGTCCAGTCAAGCGTGAAGCATTCTCAAGGCTAGAGGTTTCACTGCCTCTCCTGTGTCTGACTGTCAAACAAATGTTTGACTACAAATCAAAACGCTATTTCTGACATGATTTTCTTTAAATCTCCTTACTGACAAAATGTCTGTTGGACTGTTCTATCACATGAAATGTATCTTTAAAAGTACGGAAATCTCACCAATTTTAAGAAGATTATCTTTCAAAAATATATTCTTGGTTTTCAAATCCCTGTGAAGTATCCGTCTGGAATAGAAAAGGAAATTCAACCTCACCCAACTGGAATCATTCAGAGTCATGTATTAAGTATTTCAGGTATTAAACTTCAGCCCTTTTCAGAAAGACCAGCCCACCACTGCTAGGGTCTAAGTGCCAGGGACAATCTGCCACGGACAATGGCATTAAGGAGCTTCACAGAGGTGCATTCACAGGCACCCACATGCAGGATGACAGCCTAAGCAGGATAATAAAAATATACCTGGGAATCCTAGCTTAAGAATACAGATACAGACATAGCATGAGTTGCAGAGGAAGGGAGCAAGGCAAGTCTTCCTATCTGACTCGTCTTAAGAGCATTACATCTTATTTTCTGCCAGGAGAATGAGATGCCTCACAAGACAATAACGGATGAGAGAAACAGCAAAAAGAGTTTATAATAGCTAAGGGAAGACTCCTATAGAGGAAAAATATTACTTCAAAGACAAATATGCATATAGCCTAAGCTAGTAGTTCAATTTTTTACAGTAAAAGTGTGGAAGATGAAAGAACTTTACAAAGACAAAGATGAAAAGGAAAAGGAACAGAACAATTAGCTTTAACAAACTTATTTTTCCATCAGAGTTTGAAAAAAAATCCCGCAACATTATAAGCTACACACCATGTAAGGATATACAGAACCTTCTTAATTTCTACAAGTCTTACATGTGTGACAGAATTTCTGCAGCCCCTTAGGAAAACAAAGTATCTCTGCGGTATACAAAACATATTCTAAATTAATTCTTGTTAACAACTCTTCCAAAAGCATTGTTGCCTATAACCTCACCTAAACTAGAATTTGTCCACTCTTGAAATTATTACTAACACACAGGATTAGTCATCAGCTCCACTCAGATGGAGGTTAGAATAGCATTTGGTACATACTGGCTACAAAAACTGTATTTGCATTAGCAAAATACAGTCATTCAGCCATTTAGATGATGTAAAGAAAGAAACTGATGCTCTATGATTTTTGAGGGCAGGAAAACTAAATATGGTACTCAATTTCACATTTTTGAGCAGTCCTCAAGTATTATCTAAAATTTGAATTATAAAAGTCTTAGGCACTGACATAAAGAAATTATTTCCAAAATAGTTTCCACATCAAGATTAGAAAATATGTGTTCTACAGCACAACTTAAATGCCCAATTTTGTCCACAACTCCTTTGAAAATATTTTTTGCAAGAGGAAAAAAAAAGAAGCAATTTAATATACTCAGTTCACAAATGAAAAAATAAAAATTTCTATTTTTATGGGTGAAAAACAAAAATTTCTCTTTTTATGGGTGAAGGAAAAGAGTTCTTCATGTTTCTTATAGCAATCTTTTTAAACTTATTTTTTATTTTTTTTTCCTGAAACTAATACTTTTCATTAGAAAATATTTACACACTGGGAAAAATGAAAGTTGTATTAAATATTCCTCCACCATGTTTACAAAATATTGTTTACAAATATTGTTTATAAATATTGTTCTCTATTTGACAACTTCTGTAAGCAATACACATACACTCATACAATACATTAGAGGGAAATTAAACTAAGGTGATATTTGTTATTCTTTCATAAGTATATATATGTCTATATATATACATACACACACTGTTACAGAAATCTTGCTGTGCTGAGATTCATAAGGACTTTTCTTACCATTCATCACACAGATCCTTTAAAAGACCTTGCTTTCACCAAGTTAAATTATTCTTGCATATTGTTGCTGAGAATTGCTAGATTTCAACCTTCTTTTAATAGTATTCCTTTATAGAAATATAATCACAGCATTTTTGAACCTGAAATGTTCCTGAATAGTTATTATTTTAATAACAGGTACATTGAAGTAAAAGAATGATCCAGAAAGCTTTATGTAGCATATTATTTGAAAAGGAGATGAAAAATGATGTTTGGGTCACATTCGTTTGAATTACAATGTAATGTTCCTATAACCTTGCAACATATTGATGGAAATGTAATGTATTTTATTTGCATTACCAAAAATTATAAGATGTTTTCATATATTAATATGACAAAGAAATATTTGGGGTGATATTTTCAGCTTTCTATGATGATATTTCTCACTGCAACGTAACTTACTCTACCATGATATGTCTGAAGATAAACAAGGTACCAGCTGAAATCTTCCCTGAAGAGAATTCTTTAATACTACAAAGAAATTAATATCAAGTCTACACTGTAAATCCAGCTAAAGAGAGCAACTTTTTTATTGTAGGAAAAGACAGACTTACAAAGGCAACATGAATCAACTGGGGTGGAGCAAAACATTACCTGATGGATTTACTTGATGGTGGTTATTGAGTAGTTATTTTGGGCAGAAATTTACACTTGAGGACAGTTTCAAATCTGTAAATATACCCATATCTAGTTTTTGTAGAGTACCTGCTTGCTGTCTTGCAGTCACAAAAGAACAGGAGAAGCCCTGAGCAGCAGGCAGCCTCCTTGAAGGAAGCTTTGCCTGCAGCAGAAGGAGCTGCAAGTGAAGCTGAAGTACATCACTGCTGTGAAATCATGCACAATTAGTCTCTCTTTCCTCCATCTGAAGAACTCTGCAGAAGAGCAAGAGGCTCTTTGTAAGTCTGAACCCTGTATTATCTGCTGTTTGCATAAAGAGAGTAACCTTATAAAAATCTATGCTCCTAAATTCTTCATAAAGGTTAGCAAAATTATGGGTAACATCATGGTCAGCCTTATTCAAATTGAGGTTAAATTAATCAATGGCCTCATTGCCTGATTGCTGTGGGATTAATTTGGTGCACTGACATGCAATGGGCTATGTGTACTATGAGACACTACAGGATGGTTTCATGCTAAAGGTCTCCATCAAGATAAGACCATTGAACTGTGTTCTCTCTTTTACTTTTCCATTTCTTTATATCAGACACATAAGGATCAAATCTGTTTCTTTCTAGATAACTTTGTTTTCAAGTTTCAAGTAAAAAAAAAATTACATTAAGTTTCCAGCATAAGAGTTTTCAAAAAGTGTGGACCTGAAGTTGTTCAAGAAGGATAAGTGAATAAATAGTCTATATTTAAAACCGTAAATAATAATTTTTCCTGCTCTGGGAAAAAAAAAACAAAAAAACATGACATCCACAAAATCTGAGTTTTCTGAGGAATGGTATGGGGAGGACCAACCCCCAGGCTGTAAACACTTCAAACCTCTAATTCTAGGGAAAAGCTTTCTTTGCATTACAATATAATTCAAACATGTATTAGAGCTTTTTTCCATGTCAGTAGAGAAGAAATGATGCATGACTCTTCTACACAGAAACAGAGGGTTGTTATTATGTTTTAGTATTTAAAATTTCTGTAGGTAGTTTTAAATTATTTTAAGCCTAACCTTTTCCATTTAAGCTACTGTTTGACTCTATACTAATAAGAATAAAGTTATATACACACAGCAAATAACACAAAATATAAATAAATATGTATAAATTTTAAAAAGTTATTTGTAAGTGTCCAGAGAGGTACTATTAGCCATGATTGAAAAGGAGAAAATAAAATCTTGTTTAGAAAATCAAATTGCTTTAATTGGAGAATGAACTGACTTCTCAGGAAACCAAATTTTATATAGATATTTACCAAATAAAGTTTATTTCTAGGATCTCATTTGATTTTAAAGATTTGTTTGAGAACATGTAGAAGATAAGTAAAATAGAGAGAAGAGATAAAAAGGAATAAGAAAATAAGAAAATGAAAGATAAAAAGAATAACTCACAGAATAAAATAAAGTAGTTCAGTTGGAAGGGGCCTATAATGATCATCAGTCCAAATGCAATGTTTATATTACTATGCTGCATTATTCTGCACAATGCATCCCCTAAAGACATATATTAAAGAAGGGATTTTGCTAAAAAAGGGACTTTCCAGGGCACCAAAACTTTTAATGATAAGCTGATAAATGAAGTTCAAGGGAGGGAAAAAAACCCCAAACCACACTGATAGTTTTGTTAAACTGTCAGGACTTTTATTTTCATTTCCCTCTGTTTTTTTGGCCTGAGGTGAATGCTGAAGAGCACAGCATCCCAAGAGACTTCTCTTTGTGTCCTCCCATCACTGGCAGGGCAGCATTTCATGTACAAGCCCTAGATAAATTGGCATTTAGGAACAAAAATGCTCTTGCATCTTGGACACCAATTCACTCTGCCCTTTTCCCTCTACAATCTGACACAGGCAAAAAACTCATTAGGCATCCATCAGTTTAGGTCAAACACATCCCACACACTTAACTTCAGTTCAACTCAGGAGCGGTTGCTCTTGACGACAGGCGACCTCTCTACCTACTGCTTGGTTGCACCTAAAATTCAGGCAAGCAAATTTTGCCTTATCTCTGCAAAGGACGATGTAAGAAGGGACCAGACAGGCATTGTACATGTCCAGCACACCGGCAATAAAGGAAATATTTCCATCACTGCAGTCATCCTGCCTAAATCACACTGCAGGCAAGGGTTACACTCATGAGATGACACAGGGGATATTAATCTATATACATTACCCCTGCTCCAACCATGTGTGATCTCCTCATATCTGGATGACCCGCAGTAATTTCTTAAGTTAATCTTTGATGTGCTGTTAAAAGTGACATCTCTTCTCAAATGTACATAACTCCACTGATTGTACTGGGAGTCTATCAAGCAGGAGGTGCTTCTTGACTCCCCTTTAAAAAGATTACTCTGCTTTAACCTTTTAATCAATTTCCTCCTAACAATATTGAACTATTTCTACTGTGCTCCATTTTCCATTTGGCTCTGAAAAAAAGTGTGTCTAAATGCTGGAAGACATTTACCATTGTACTGCTAGAAGACATAATGCACAATGTTCCTGCAGGGTAGATAATTAATTACACTTGAGGTATCTGAGCTAAACTAACTACAATGTTTGGTGAACAAAACTTTCATTTCTGTTTGAATACCTCCTATTAGTCAGTAACTCCATTCACTCCCCTCCCAGGCTAAATACTCTCATATCAAATGACTGTACCTTTCATGCATATAGTTGACTCCAAGTAACAACTGTATAAACCAGTCTATTATTTGACTTTGAGTGAACATCTTCCCAGAATCTTTGTACTCTTGAATTTTAAAGTCTAGATCTCCACCCTGAAAAATATCACAAGATATTTCTACAATTAAGGTAAATCTCCATCATAGTACAGGACCCCACTTCCTTAGGCCTTCAGGCATCCTATCATGTACGTCTGTAAAAACAATATATGCATGTGAATTCTGAACCAAAAGCACACACAAGTGAGAATGAAACTGCCTGGCTTTGTTGTTTTCTCTTGGTGTTACACAAGATCACCAGTTTCCAACTGTTCTTCCTTCATGTCACCCAACTTAAGCATCTGAGCAGGTCATCCCAAACCTTTACAGGCTACACAAAGGAACACACACCTGTTTAGTGCAATTACCTCTGTCATCTAGCTGTCTACCTTTGGAAGGAATGGATCATGTTGTACAAACACTATTTCTCTGCAAAGATTTATGATGAGGGCCTACATTGACTGGCTATGACATAGACACTTAGGTAGGTAAAATTAATCTGCCCCAACCAGTCTGAATAAGTTAATAAACTTGAGAAAAGCATTTCCACTCCAGTCAAACATTGCACACTCAAGTGGCACTCATTTATTATGTGATAATAACCATGTTAGCACCAAAGCAACCATGTCATTCCCTTACAAATTAAAATACATTCTCTTTAATTACAATACTTTGCCCTCTTTTAAACTTTTACCAGAAACAAAGCAGATTTAAAGGCTCAAGAATACATAGCATGTGTTATTGTGATACTTCATTAAAACAACAATTGATATTGAAGTAGCACTTGGAATGGAACAATAGGACACACAGCAGGGAGTGCCAATAAACCAGAAAATATATCCAGAAAAAGACTACTTGAAAACTATAATCCAGATATTTGGCAATACCAGTTGTACAAGACAATGGAAGAGTATTTAGAGACTTCCAGGAAATCCATTCTTTCTGCTCAAAAATATACAGATGTTAGCTGATGTTGCTACAGTTGTTAGCTGAATGTTTAATCAGTTTATAAAATAAATTAATTTTTTCTACAAGAATGCATACACATTAATGGGAAGCAATATATTGAGGTATCTAACCCCAGAGCAAAGGGACTGTGAGTCTGATTACATTCTAGTGACTAATTACCTTACATCAGGATAGCTTATTACCCATAAATCATTATTTTTACATTATACATTCTACATAAAATCAGAAGCTTTATGTGCCATATACAAGTAACAATTTTGCCTGTACAACTGTACCAGTACCATCATTTCCCATCATCATCCCTGTATTCCTCTGCACTGTTGACTCTTGCCATTTTATGTTGTCTTCAGCATTTCTTGTTTTTCTGTTCCAAACACCACAGTGCTTCACAGCGCTGCTACAAAATACGCAGATTCTGTCCTTGCAGATCTATATTTTCATGTGCTTCTGACATGAGTTTATGGTAATTTCTATGCATTTCTGGTTCTAAGTTACAACATTCCAAAGTGAGTGTGTTAAAACAAAGCAAACCTGTTTTGTCATCTATCAAAAATGTGCTCCCCGACAATGTCCTGCAATTTTTTAATTGAAATGCCTGAATCATTTCATACACTAGGGAAGGGAATATGGGTTCAGTTCTCCATCTGCAGCCCAGAGAGAAGCTCTTCTGGGAACTTGGAACTCTCAGCAGCTGCTTCCCCTTTACAACTCCAAACGTTCATCAGCTTCCCCCTGGTTGCTTGCAGCAGAGAAGAGAAAGGAAAGAAAAATTCTTGCTGGGTACTCCATTGCAGCCAGATGGGCTGTGACTGAGTCTGTTCATACACCTCAAAAACAGTGAGTCATTATTATAAAATAAACTGCTGCAGACAGAAGCCCCAGACCATCCAGAGCCCAGGTCTGAGGAGATGCTCAAACATGTATCAGCTGGCTGCTGGCCTCAGGGGACTGTGTACTATCCAGGTCGGGACAGATGAAGAGCAGCAGGCCCCAATCACCTTTTCTCCCTATCCCAATGTGTCCCTTCTCACAATAACAAATTGCCATGAAAAACACAAAGAAAAATAAGTGCAGCACCTACAGAGTTATGGCAGTGAATTCTCTGAAGCTGAGTGACAATTCCCTGCAAAAGGTCTAAGGAGAACAAAAGCAGCTGAATAATGTACTACATGTGTCCTCACATAACTGCATAGCTTTTTATCTTCAAGCAGAGAAGAGTGGTCTCAATGTCCTACAATTAATTTACTCTTGATTTTTTGTCTAAAATAGGAAAACAAAAACACATCATAAAAGATTTGCTGAAGTACTGCTGCTGTGAAACTCTGAAAAAAATTTGTTAACCCAATTTCTCAATTTGGAAGGTCAGTCTTGAATTCAACAATTTAACAAATTAAGTACATATGGAGTTTCCAAGCTGCAGTTTTTATTTACTGAATAAATATTTTACTCTGATAAACTCTGATATTTTAGTAAATATCAGAGTATCAAACACACCAGTAAATTATTTGAAACAGCTTAGCATCTAGAGCTGATAACGTGAACAAGCATTGACTGCTTCAGTTATTCCTTTTGCTCAGATTTCCTTAGCATATGTGTACTCACATCACAGCTGAGACCACAGTCAAGAGACATAAATAATTGTCTGGGGAAAAAGTACAATGAATTCTGCATTATAACACATTAAAATGATGCAATTTTTAAAGTAACTGCTTTGCAAAACTGTGTATTATTGAAGTCGAATTTGTACTTCAAAATGAAATCCAAGGTTCATTAAGGCATTTTTGTTTGACGTCAGTCTTAGCTGATAATGTTTATACTATCCATAAGATTTTGATTTGGGGAAAGTGTCTAAGAAGCTCAACAAGTAAGATCAAAACAGAACAAATACACTTTTCTATAATTTTGATTGAAAACAGTTGTAATAAAAGATGTCAAGCTGAGCCATGGAGACCACTGTCACTGGTTTTCTTCCACAGGACAAGGTATAGCACGGGGCAGCTGCACTGGAGGCTCCCTCTATGTTACTCACGGCAGAATGAGCAAAGCACCGTGGCTAATGAATAAGTCACGGTACTTTGGAGAAAACAGAATAGAGCTCATGGGGGTAGTTCCGTTTCCATGCCAACTTAACGTGTGCTCTTTGTTTTGAGCCTGCCCAAGAGTAGCAATTACTGCCAATCTGGTAATTATTCTGTGCATGAGAAACTGAACGTACTAGACTTCCAAGCAAGGATCAGGTAGCACTACATTTTGCTCATTCTTAATTTATGCATGGTTTAAGCAGGCATCTTTTAGGTCAAAACACTCAAATCTCACCACATAAAAAGGCAGGTTAAGTAAAGTAAAGGCAGCTAAGTAAATACAAAAGTATAAATTCTGGAAATACTCCCACTAAAATAGAAAAGAAACTTTATAGCACTCTGTGCAACTCTGCTTTGTACTTTTCCTTGTCTGAACATTCAGTGAAACATATTGTAATGGCATAAACGCAACGATACCACAGAACCTGGCCTTTGGGGAAAAGTCAGAAGCACATCCTATTGGGTCGGGTGTCATCCTGACCTCACCTAGCAGACTCAAAACCGAAAAGATTCAGGGCATAGCCAATGAATCCATTTTCTCTTCCTTTACCTGCCTTGCTGTAATACATTCTCACCTGTTTGAGGATGTGAATTCCAGATCCTAGGGTAACTCTGTATCAAAATGCATTCATGCAAGGTAGTTTATATTACCTGCATAAAAAAACCCCAAAGCTCCAAGGAGTGATGCTTGTGGTTACTCTGCTATAATGCTCTTTCTTATTAACCTATAACTCTATGACAAATAAAAACAAAAAAGAGTAAAAAGCAGTGGATAGACAAAAGACACCAGAGTGCTGGGGAAATAAGCTTCTTTATTCCTACACGTTTAACTGATCTGGTATTGCGTCACTTTGTACTGACAGTTTGCTAGTAGAGAGAAAACTACAAGTGCATGGGAATAGCTGGACTGTCAGAATAATCCTTCAGTCCTGAGGTCCAGATTTCCTCAAAGAGATGACAGTATTTTCAAACCCCAGCTGTAAGACATTCAGGGAATGGCACAAAAAGCTTCTGCATGTGTCAAAACAGCATGTGAACAAATACTCAGCTTGTATCACAGAACTGAATATTTCAGATTAAATTTTTAAATATCCCAGTAATAAATACACATTTAGCTGTGTTTCATTAAAGAATACTTCCAAGGAAGAAAGAAATTACAGGAATGGTACTTATTTAATTATTCTCATGAAAGCTAAATTCTTGAAGAAGTGTGATTAGTTAAGTCAAATCTGATTTGTGTGCAGGTAACCCATTAGTCTAAGTTCGTTATCTTCCAAAGCATTTCAGCATGTCTAGCAGAGTACAACTGAAGAGTTTGCTTCACAGTTTCATAAAAATATCACTTTATGTATGACAGATTTTTTTTGAAAGAGCACATTTATATTTAATACAAAGTAGGCACTTGTTTTATATAAACTACTAAAAAACTGGCTTAAATATGCTTAAATTCTTATTTGAAAGCTTTACAACAGATTCCAGCAAAATGTCCTTAAACCAAATGCTGGAGTCAAAAAACTAATGGTAGAACATTTAAGAACATTGTGTTCTAATACTGTAGAATATCCTGCTTTAATATTTACTGTATCCACTACACTCTGGTCTCTGACTCACACTGTTTTTCATTTTATAAAGCCAATGTTGCTGCCAAACTCATCATCCATGTGATCAGACTTAAGCTTCTTGTAATCGCCTCCAAACCACAAGAGAGTTTTCCCTTCCTCATTTATATCAGATTTTATATCATGACCCCACGCCCACAATCTCATCCTCTCTCACCTATCACACACAAGTGGTACAACCTTTCCGAGTTCTCCCACAGACCTGGCAGTGTATCTGCATTTAAGCCTTTCTTGTAGCCCCCAAATGAACTTCCACTTAAAGTTACGTACTTCTGTTATTTATTTGTCTATGAGTCTCAAATGAGCAGGTTACATTCCTTATCTGAAAGAAGCACACCTAACAAGTAGCAGATGATACTGCAAGCAACAAATAAAGACTAAAATTCAAACTAAAACATTATATAAAATGGCGTCTTAGAAGACCCTGTTTTAATACACACATTTTCTCAAATTTCTTCAGTCTCACCTCACAATACTCAGTGATAATGCAGAAACTATCTCGCTCCACAAAGCTTGCATAAAATTTGACAATGGCTGGATGGTCTAATCTGGAGAGTAGTTGTGCTTCCAGATTTGCTTCAACTGTTTCATTAGGCTTTAGGTCTCCAACAGAGATTTCCTTTAGGACCTTTCTATAGGAAAAAAAAATCTTTATATTAATAAAACCAGAAAAATGTAAAAATTTGTAACATTCAAAATCCCATCAAAATGTCCTTAAATGCAAAATAGTAACATTGACCAACTACTGGCAACATGAAATGATAAGGCAAATATGGGTAAACAATGAGAATGCAATAAAAATAATTAGGCAACACATTAAAAATACTGTTTTGAAATATTTCTCCCAATAATTACCTACTGCACTGTTTTCTTAAGAACATGTTTTCAGTGCTATGGATTACTGCATAATAACAAACACAAACAAAAAAATCAAATCTAAGTGATTTCAAACCCACTCAGAGCATATGGTCAAGATTCATATATGAAATAATGAGTAGCAAGAAACTGCATTTGCAGCTTCTGCCCAAGTCCCTCCATGGAGGCAGGAGAAAAATCACAGAGAGTAATATTTTTGCAGCTGTTTTTCCAGTAATAAACTCAGGCTCTCCCTTTTTTTTTTCCTAAATATCAGCCTGTCCTTCACCTGAGCACGTAAGTGAAAAATACAAATCTAGATTTGGAGCTGGAATCTAATTATACTGTTTGAATGATTTCTAATCCTTTAGTATTTAACGTTTGTTTAGGAAGACCCTAAATCCCCTGGAAACTGTTTAGAAAATGTAGGGATTTTTAATATTCTCTAGTCTTAGCACACAAATGTGCCATAGGAGAATTTATAGCTCAGAATTAGCTTTATACAGAGGCTGGGATGGGGCAGTTTACTGTTAATTTGACCTGGAAAAATACAAAAATATAGTGCAGGGCACTACAAGAAAGCATATTTTGCCAAGATTTTCCTGAGGAAATGTTAAAAAAAGACCATACAACACATTTATTTCCATTTGCTTTACCAGTTAATGAAGAATACATCATAGGTCTTTTCAGAAGGAGATGTGGATGACTATTAGAGAATATAATGTTTCTTTACTGAAACAAATTGGTGAATTTCCCCAAACTTTTGAATACATGAAAGGCAAGTTTCAGACTCAAGGGAAGCTTCCACAGTGCTTTTAGTAATTTCCCCACTCAATAGACCATGGTTGTAAAGTTACAGTAGTTAAACATGACAGTGATAAAACTACAATAGTTCATCTTATCTAAGGGGAAAAAATACAAGCTGTGTTTCTTCACGAGGAAATTTTTTCCTAAGTCTGAACAATCAGTTTCTGACTAGCAATGTTGAATTTTCATATAAACTTGCCTAATCACCATCAGGATTGTGATAAAAAACACGCCCTTTGATCTGTTTCTGTCTCTGCAGACAAGCTTCATGGAGCACAGACAGGCAATACCTGCTGCAATCTCCTCATCTTCAGCTGACGTGGGCCTTTACCCCTTCCTTCATAAAAACCATGTCACAGAACTGACAAACAGGATGAGTCCTTGTTAAAGACCACTTACTACAAGTTTCTTGCATACCCAAGACAGCAATAAAAGCCTGATGTGTTGATGTGCACAGATAGCTTGTCATCTTAGTCACTCGGTGATCTTAAAGCTGTCATCAGCTGTCAGACAAGATGACAGGTGTTTTTCTTATTTAAATTAATTCCCAGAAGAAGAAATCAAGAAAATATACTTCTTGTAAATGAGGTATTGGTTTTCTGCAACACAATTCTAATTCATACCTACAGCTGGAAGGCATTTGCTTCTAGAGAGAAAGCTTTTGGATGCAATTCAGATTAGGCATGTCTGCATGCCTCTGGTATATGTGTGTACTGTGTCTATATGTAGATAACGTTTGATTTTACTGCATTAAATATGAAGAACCTAATTGGACTTCATAGTTTCTGCAAAGTTCTCAATGATATTTCAGTAAATACATTTAAAAATTTAAGATGTGTACTAAAAAATCTCTGCGTTCATTAAGTATTGACAAAGAAATTATGTCAGACTCTCAGAAGCCTCACAGAGAAAATGGAAAAGTTTCCAGATCTGAAGTGGTTCTTTCCTGTAATCTTTAGAAGAAAATAAAGGAAAAAAAAGCCTGCAGCCAGAAACTCATCTATATAAATTAACTATACTTTTTAATACATAAAACACCTAAAGAGTGCTTAAATACACCCTAACCCATTTCAGTATTTACACAAGTAAATTCTACCTGAATGGGCAGCTAAAATAGGCACACTCTGTGCTTTATACAGCTCCTAAGATAACTCAAATTTGGCACCCCTGGTGTTGTCAAATAGGCTGGTAGATCCACAAATAAAAGCTCAGTAACCATAAGAAAACAACAAACCTTTCTTGGCTAAACCATCCTGCCTGCATCTCCTCTCTACCAATAAAATCCATCTCTACATTTTGAAGGAGACAAAGCGTTTCTATGATCCAACCTGCATTTTATAGTTGACTAATAATAAAGAGTGAGCCATCATTGCTCATAATTCAGACATGGTACTTGTAGATCATCTGCTGAAAATATGCCTGCATTGTGTTACTTCACTATTTTTTCTAAACTGTTTGATGTATTTTGAACAAACCTTTTGAATACGGAATATTTATTCTGGATTTTGGGAATAATACACTCTATTGTTCAGATTTTATTAAGACTTCATCTGGAGTATACAGAGCCACTTGAAAGTAAGTTTTTCTCAAAAAATCTGTCCTTATATTTTCTGCCACTTTGGTTCAAGTATTAAGCAGGATTTAAAAGGTCTAAAGCTGTTTGCATGAACTAAGAAATCCCAGATTTATTACATGAGCAATGAAATCAGAGATCTAGGTGGCACATACAGAAAACCAGATAAAGCCACAAAAATGTGGATATCCTCCAAATACAATACTTAAGTACCACTTTGGATAGAATGCTAAATGAGATATGCTAATTTAAATTTCAATATTATTATAAATTTGACTTAGTGTAGAATACAACACATAAGCAGATCATAGAATTGTTTAGGGTTGGAAATGACCTTTAAGATCATTGAGTCCAACCACAAACCTCACACTGCTAAGCCCACCACTAGACCATGTATCTAAAGACAAGATAAAATGTCAGTGAACACACAATTAGGAAACATTATTACAGAAGGGTTAGCAGATATCTTAAATACAGATATCTTAAATACAGAATATAGAATATTTTATTTTAAACAAAATCCTCTGGATTTTAACTGTGTGGAAAAAGCCTTATAATTCAATCAATAATGGAAATACATTTTAAACTTTATCTCAAAATGACCACAACTGAAAGAGACTTGTTGAAAGCATTAATATCTGAAGAGTAAAAAAATCCAACCATCACCATGTACATTCAAGCTGGATCTGGTATAGGTAACAACATCCATCCCTTTAGGGTGGGAAAATAACACGAGAGATGAGCTCACTCCCACATCCCAAAACACAGAAAGCAACATCCCAGCCTCAACAGGTCCACATCCCTTCCCTGAGAGCAGTTTCTCTGGGAATATCTTCTGATTTTCATTAGCAAAACCTTGCTGGCTTGCACTGTCACACTTTGAAAAGCAGCCAAACACTGGATCTGGAAGCGCAATAATGGGGAGAAAGTAGGGGGGAAAAAAAAATCTTAATCTAATCTAAAAATCTAATCTCTCCAAAGAGAGCAAGACTTATAGCAAGAGAAAAACAAACATGAAGGTGGAACCCTCCAGAATTCAGGCACGCAGTGGGAATCCCTTTTTGAGCTTTACTAGTGACTGACAATACAACACAGCAGTGTTTATCTCAGTCTATTTCCACTGATCTAAAAGGGAATGTTTTACAACCCATCTGGTATTTGTTTACATCGGTGACATACTTTATTATTATATAATTTGGTTTATTGGATCAGATGCAATTCTTAAATGGCAGTGGTTCTCAAAATGTACTGTTTATTGAGCAAACTGCACTATTAATTATTGCCTAGGTAAATTTGCTTGTTGAGAAAGAAGGAAAATAAATATAACTCTTTTTATGTCAAGAATAAATAGGTATGATAAAAGAAAAATTGTGATCTAGGAATATATGACCAAAAGTTAAGCTTTTAATTAAACAGAAATTTCATTTTACACAGGCAGGTTTTCAGTTAACTGCAGTTAATTATAATTTCATTTAGGTTTTGAGTTGCCACTATGGAGAATTGTAACGTAACCCATAACTGTGTGCTGTCTTGCTGTCCTTGCTGACTTTTGTAGGACTGGCACTTCACCTGGTAACTCCTCAGTCCAAGGACCAGGTGCAATTCAGTAAAAATGCATCACCTCTGACTAGGTCTGTAACTGGATCTGAAATTGGTCACAAACAATAAAATTAAAGGAGTCCAGTTAATGATGCCTTCTATTCTACTTAACAAATGGCAAACCGAGAAGGTTCAGCTCTGCAAATGGGGACCAAAATGAAGAAGAGGTGACAACTTTCATGCAAAAAGTTTGCATAACACTTCCACACTATTAAAACTGTTAGGGAAATATGGTAACAAAGGCACCATGTGCCTACAGACAGGGCAAAGTCATCCACCATTACCACTACTTCTCTTCTGCAGCTGACAGCTCAGCAACAAAAATTCGAATTCTTTACATTTTATCCGTCGTATTTGGAACACCAGTGTCTGCATGGTCAGATAATTTAAAGACATGCATCTATCTGTTAGAGAAAAAGGAAGCTGGTGAAACCATGAAATACAAGTCAGCATACACTAATCAGTATTACCTAGAAGAATTCTTAGTTTTAGCTAAGAAAAGAAACACGGTAAATTGAGAACACTTGATTTTCTTTGGGAAAATCAAGAGGATTACCACACTTCCAGTGAAAAGCAAACAAGTGCTGTTTGGTATTCCTCCTTACATATACATACTTAATCATTATCCAAAGCATTTCAGACCCAAATATTACTACAGAACTTCTAAAATTGAATTGAAACAGGGCTTCCCATGCCCACTGTAGATTTTTTAGTCAAACCGTAACTCCTTTTCAATACCAAGTATCGCTGCACAGCTTTGTCAATCAAATGCTGCATTTCTTTTGTCATCCCCCTGGA